CTTTGCCGTATGTTTTTCCTCTACTGTTATTTAAGTAAGTCATTCCATGTGAGATGCTCCATTGCCTTCACTGTTCTTTAAGTAAGCCACTCCATGTGCGATGCTTCATGAAATAAATAGGAGACCCAACCCTTAAAACTTTTGCTTATCCTTAAACACCCTTAGATCCCTTTCCAGCAAGCTGATACAACAAAAGAAAGGAAGCCCACTTGCCAAATACCTTTCCTCTATCACCAAAGCATTGATTTATTAAATTCTCCAGCATACCCTACATTCCCGACTTAGAGCCAACACAATCCAAATAATTGCAGGAAACTGGATCAAACCTTCCTTGGAACAAAAACAGCTACAAAGGATGATCCATATCTTGTATCTCTTCCTTACAAAACATATACAACCTAGAGGACCTCCAGAAGAAACCCATAGTGTAAATTCTCCCATAAGCCACGAGCCTTTGGAAAAAAAACACAACTTTCTAAGAAGATTTAACCAGCTGATGTGCAAAGGACACATGGATGAAGAAGTGATATGATCTTAAAAAATAATTGCAAGGGAAAAAAACTCAAAGGCTTTAAGGGGACCAGCAATATGATTCCGAAGATCAAGATGCAAGCAAGACCTCTAAAGGAAAAAGTTCCTATCCCCCATTGAAGTTTTTCTATGTTCAAAGAAACCAACTGTGCGACAAGACGTGGACTTCCATGCCTTCCTACAAGTGCCACAAGAAGCCACATTTGCATTAACCATAGACATCAAACCCATTGTTACTTATAATCTCGTCCCACAAAATCTTAAATGCTATTGGAGAGAACCATAAGGTTAGGCCTCCTAAATCCTAATGACTAAATAAGCACCCACAAACCACCATCCTCCAAAAATCTAGACATCACCTTCCACAATTAACCAATTGAGATCCCCTTTCTCTTCCATATTTTTCCATAAGTGACCTTGCATGAGCTTCTCAAACAAAGATCCAACTGCAAAAAGATTTTAAAGATAGAAAAATCTTTATTCTCATTTGTGGAAGTGGAAAGTTCCAAAGAAGGTCCACTTCTTCGCTTAGCAAGTCATTAAGAGTAAATACTTACTATTGAGCAAGATGTTCTGTCATGCTGCATTCTTCGCCCGATGGTGGAGGAAGGCCTTGACCATGTTCTCGAATTGTTTGAATTATTTCTTTGAGGTGTTTGGTTTGCAGTTTGCTAGTCACATAGGTCTTCAAGAGATGATCAAGGAGTTCATTCTCCAACCGCCATTTTCAAAGAAGTGGACGTTTTTGTGGCAGGCTAAGATTTATGTTGTAATGTAGCGTTTGTGGGGCGAGAGGAAGAATAGGACCTTTAGAGGGCTTGAGAGGGACCCTAGTAATATGTTATCCGGTGTTGCATCCTTCCCACTGACATCTTGCAAAGGCTTTATACAAGCGAGACATTATGTTAATAGGTCTAAAGACTTCAAACTCTGCATCTGCTTCCTCTAATTTTTATAGGATCAGGCAAATGAAAGTCGAATCCGTTAAGCCTCTCTCATTCAATGAATACCTTTAAAAAATTCATCTTATGTCCCACCTTTCTTGAATGAAGGCCATAAAAAAGCCATCACAGCCAGAAACTTTAATCCACTCAAATCTAATAACCACCCAGCCAATTTCCTCAGGGGAGAGTCTCTCTAGCCACTCTCGTGGTTGCCAATAGCCCTCCAATTCCAAGAAGGGTTTGTGAATTCCGCTTCATGTCTATATAGATACTTTTTACACTGACTGAAAACAATATAAATATCCAGATGGAGAATAGTAAGGAAAATAACACAATGATGCAAGTTAAGATAGTTCACCTTTGGCAACCCCTGAGAGATCGAAACATTCTCACCATCTCGAGGACTAGAAGGTGCTTGAATTTGTTCCCCCATCATACTATAATAGCAACAAACATACTAGTAATGTTACACAAAATTTAAACTGGGTAGTTGAAAAAATTTAAGTTGAACGAAAATCTCCAAAAGCAAATTGAACCATATAGAGAGGGATAATAAGCCTAGAAACAGTTTTGAGGGCTGACTCCACTCGAATTCTACGCTAAAGGTCCTCTCATAGATGCATTTAATAGATATAAAGAATTTTCTGGCGAACTACACAGACAAAGAAAAAACACTGTACCTCTTAAGGCCTAGAATATTGACAAGAGAATCAAAACCAAAAAACTCCAGCTTGGATTCTCCCTGGGGGCCATTAATTTCGACGAGAGTAAGAGAGTTCCCTTCTTTTCCATCAGTGCCTGTCTGAGAACCCACTTTTACCTTCCTGCCAAAGAAGCAAGAGATAAAACACTCTACAATTCAACATTTAATCTAAAGCCTCCAGAAGCTAATCAAAACCAGGAAAAATGCATCTTATCAATACAAATTACTGCGTCCAATAAACAAATGTAAGACCCTTAATACATAACATCATGATAACGATTAAGAAACAACGCTGCAAATCCAAACCCAAAATTCACACTGCCAAAATCAAACCCAACAAGTAAAGAACAGCACAATGACATTGACAAAACCAAAGTAGAAGGAAAAACAGATTACTTCATAGAAGGATGCCGCGTGGTAATGGAAGGCGTAGAGGATGCGGGCCCCGGATCCATGGAAGACATTTCAAGAACAGCACGATCATGGGCTTCAACAGGGCGATATTTCCTTCCCCTCTGCCCATGAAAATCCTCTTCCCCGCTCTCAATATCAGCATTGTCCATTTCAGAACAAGCCAAGATCGAATTCCAACTTAGCTCCCCGCTCTTCCGTTGTAGTGAATCAGTGAAAACAAGAACAAGATGCAGATCCAAAACGAAGACAGGAAATGAAATGCAGATCCAAGTGAAAGAGAGAGTATATAGGAGGAAGCAAGCAAAAGACGTCGGCGACCAAGGAGAGAAATTGAAAGAAGAAGAAAAGGAAGAGAAGAAAAGGGGAGAAAGAGACATATATAGTTCATTTAATCCGCCATTTCCATGGCAATGTCAGAGCGATCGAGCCAGCGAAGGAGCGAACGAGCGAGCGACAGAAACGGATTTGAATGAGGAAAATGGCTCGCGAAGAAGAAACCTGGAAAAAAACGAACACATTTTCAAACGCAAACCAGCACGTGAGTTTCACGGATAATTTCGCGCGTTTGCAACCGTAATTTAGGGCCTAACTGCCTGTTTTTCTGTTTTTTTTTTTTTTTACCACAGATTTTTTTTTATCTTTTTTACTTTTTTGTAAAAATATTATTTATTTTCCCTTTTTCTTAAATCTTTGTATTTTATTAAGTAAATAAGGAAGTTTTAATGTCCTTAATTTATGATCTATTTTCACCTGATTTTAATCTTTTTTTTTTTCTTTTTGGTTAGATTTGGATACTCGTGGTTGGAATCGAACTATGTTCCTTTATATTTGGGTGATTTCTCCCGTTATTATTTATTTAATTTATCGGTTAGTTCACATTTGAGAAATTGAAATCGGTGTTATATGGGAATGTAAGCAAAAGGCAACAACAACGGCTTACTGCATATAACTATCAGGTAGGGATGAGTTGACAACTAATCATATCCCCTATAGTACATTTTGAGGTATTTTGGCCCTTTGTAGGTGTAGACACGATTTTGATGAATGGTCATACACTGTACTGGCCCAATATGAAATAGCAAGGACCTATCTAAGATGAAAGCATATAAAAAGGGTTTGGAACGAGCATGCAACCATAGACAACACGTCTTAGACAAGCAAAACTGGGATATCTGTCATGCGACTATTGACAACACGCTTTGGACATGCATGACCATGACATCTTCCCCCACTCAATTGGTTGACGTCCTTGTCAACCGGCTCGAACAAACAAAACTGGGACATCTGTCATGCTTTAAGCAAGCATGACCGTGACATCCCCCTGTCAACTGATTCGGACAAGCAAGGCTGGGATACTTGTCGTGGTTTAGGCAAGCATGGTCGTGACATCCTCCCCCATTCAAACGTCTCTGTCAATCTACTCTTTACCACCCTATGTCATAGGCTGAGGTTGATGGAATTAATTACGAGTATGTTAATAATTTAGTAACTAATTAATAAATAATCGTTATTACCATTTGTTTGATACATATACACATATCCATATTTATATATGGACATTTGAAACTCTAAATTTTTATTTAACATGTGAAAATAGACATAAATAGTCTAAATATTATATCGTTGAATCTAACTTTTTATATTTACCGCCCAATCTCGATAATTTGAACAATATTTTTTTTATCATTTGGTATGCAATTTAAATTAGATATAATTATTTCTTAAATTTAATTATTAAATTGTATCGAGGTAAATAAAATATTGTGTATTTTATGTATCCAAATTAAAATATGAAACATTCAAATGTAAAATTACATTAAAAAAAAATATATAAAACTTTGATAAAGATAATTTTTCATCTCATAAACTCAGTTATTTTATTTATTTATTTATTTATTTTTGTAGAAACTAAAAGATGTATAAAATGATGTTTCATAAAATAATACAATATTAAAAAATAATAAATACATAAAATTTATAATATAACACAGTTTTGCAAACTAATTAGTAATAATCAAGTATATATCATTTAGTTGATATGATAAATATTTTTAATTGCTTTTGAATATAATAAAAAAAAATTAAAATATAGCTCTTCAGTTCATATTAATCAAATCATAATAGCTTAAACTCATCACTAGCAGATATTGTTCTATTTAGATTTTTCTTTCCGTACTTTCCCTCTAGATTTTAAAACACGCTTGGCTAGAGAGAGATCTTCACATGCTCGTAAAGAATACTTTGTTCCCCTCTTCAACCGATGAGGGATATCACAATCCGCCCTTCTTCAGGGTTCAATATCCTCGCCGACACTCATTCTCCTGTCTAATCGAGGTGGGATTTCATCCAAAACTTCAATAAGAAAGAAATTTGATGAATGAATTGCCATAATTCTTACATTTTTTTTCTTTAACGTTTTCTTGCTACACAAGCCATTTAATTTTATAAAGAAAATAAAGGTTCATGAAGTCATACAAAAATCTCTCTAAAATTGAATGAAAGAAGAAGAAAGGCGACCATACCTAGCATGAATCTGGATGTGGCACATAATACAATGTGGCTAAACAAATAGAGACGTCTGTTAGAATGAGAGCTACCACATCAAACACAAATTTCGGTGCAAACAGTCCCCATACCTGCAAACATTCTTATTCTCTCTGTTATTATATCATAATATCAAGAAAATCACTAATTATGTTCTTATAAAACCACTCCAACAATATTAGTTTTAACTATGTATCTAAATCTTGTAAAAATTTTTGTATGCTTTAGTCGTAAAAACGCTAAACTATAAAAATTATCCCTCCGTTTTTTCATTGGTTTAAAAGTTGCAATATTACTCACGGTTTCAAAACTACCCGTAAAGTAAAAAAAAAAAAATCATTAAAATGTTGAACAAAAAGTAAATATCTAAGTATGGCTCTTTCATACTCAATCCAAGCAAACATTTTAGTAGCCTTCGTCTCGTTTTAGGCTATTGTCACGTTAGTTTTCTATCTAACATTCTAATAAATTTCTATTCCCGTGATTTTGAAACATTTATAGTATTTTATCTTTATTTTTTTTAAACTATTTATAAAGTTTAAGGGTATGTTTTATAACTTAGTCTAGTAAATTCATCCTCTAGAGTAAATGAAGTGAGGTAATTACCATCAAATGCCGCCTTTGAATTATGACACACAATATAGAAGCTGTAACTGGAACCGCCATTATGAGCCCATACATCAAGTAAGCCTATGTGATCCCAGGGAAAATGAAAGTGAAAATTTAAACCATGCTGCCAAAAACGGAGTTTCTTACTTCAACTTTGAAAGATCAATAAATAAGTGAGTAACTTACTTGAGATAAGCGCATGAAGAGAGTGTTTTCCCCTTTTGAAGCCTGACTAGATGAATATTTCTTTGCAACAATGAAAGGAAGTCCGAAAATTGGAAGGATGACTGAGAAGCCAAACGTATCGATTGTGAGAAGGATTGCTTGTCGAACGAGAACGAACTCATCGAACCTGGGATTAGGGATTCAAGTGTCAAGGATTTTAAAATATCCTCCATTACGTAAATGTTGACAATTGACATTGTTTTTTAACAAGGACAAAAAATCTCATCAACTAAAAACTAGAAGCAGCAAACTGTAACCGTAATGGCCCAAGGCCACCGCAAGCAGATATTGTCTTTTTTGGACTTTTCCTTTCGGACTTCTCCTCAAGGTTTTTAAAATGTGTCTACTGGGGAGAAGTATCCACACTCTTATAAAGAATACTCCGCTAGCAGATATTGTCCTCTTTGGGCTTTCTCTTTCGGGCTTCCTTTCAAAGTTTCTAAAATGCGTCTGCTAGGGAGAGGTGTTCACACTCTTATAAAAAATGTTTTGTTTAAACCGACGTGGGATATCACAATGGTAATTCAAAGTTTCAAACTGAAGAATGAGGGAAGTATGATGAAAGAATCCCATTGAGCCTTATTACTACGAAATAAATAAACAAGGGACTGAGTTAGTTTTCTAAAATGATTGTCTGTATAAACATTAACTTAATTTTTCATGCATGCATGCGTGCATCTCATAACACACCAAAGCAGAAATAATTAAAAACATTGAGTTTTGAGCAATTCGCATAATGTGCCGACACAACAAAGGACATACCCAATAAATGCAGCACCATAGCGAAGGCCATCAAAAGCACACCTGCAGGAATATCCCATGGGTAAGCAGACGGTAATAACATGTAAGAAACAATTAGTCATTGAATAGAAAACAAACGTTTAGCAGCTGAAGTAGAACAAGAAGGAATCAGCAAAAACGTTTATTCAAATTAGAGGAAGAATGAAGTACCAGTGGCCAGAGCTAAAGAAGAGACAGATAGCAAACAAGCTCCACTGCGTTACAGGAAGACAGTCAACTGTCAGAATTCTACCATTTCCATCCTCTCCGTGTTTTAGATTGTCCATGCCTATTATGCAATATCCTACCAGGATGAACATACAATCAAGGACGGGAAATAGATGGAGAGAAATATACATGAAATAAAATTAGCGACCAAAAACAGAGCCCAATCTTTAAATGTGAGAAGAAACTAATAGCTCATAAGCTACAGCAAAGGCAACTAACAATATTATGCTTCAGAATGGTACAGATTGATACTAATCTTGTTTCTTTTTATGAAAGTTTAAACACGAACCAATTTTTAATACAGTTTAAGAAAATTTGATTAATCACTCTCCTATTCTAAAAAAGCATGAATAAATCATTTGAGACAGCAGCATATATTCAAAGTGAAAACAACCAAGAAAAGGGCTCCAAGTCAGTCAAAGGAGGCCTAACTGGTGAAAAAAATTCGTAAGCAAAGGCCACAGATACAGATAGAGACTAACAAGGGAAAATGTGCAGTAGGCAGCAGCATATGTAGGAAGATATGGGTCAACAATAATGCAATTTATTATATAGTGAAGCCCCAATAAAATTTCACCTCCAATAAGAGATGCCAAAGCCACCAAGGAACCTTGCTTTCCCGCTAGAATAATAATTGTTGGACTCCATGCAGCTAACATGGCGGCTGTTTTGGTTAATAAAGTTATTCTGCAGTCTAAAAGTTTGTCTTCACCAAATAGTTGCCTAAATAGTAGTAATGACAGTTGTCCTAGTCCAATAGCATAGATTATTCTAGGAATGCAATTTTTTCCAATGCCCTCAATAGCAGAAGCAAAATGCAACACCTCATTTTCTAGAGCCCAATGGAATCCAATAAGGATATAACACAAAATTGTTCCATACATAACGAACTTCCATACTCCCTTTGAATGGCTGCTAGTAATGTTTTTAAGAAGCAACTGTGCCAATAATATGAGTGCAATAATTGGCACAGATTTGGTTATGTAAGTCCAACCAGGCAGTAGGGATGCAATTTCAAGCACCCATGAAGGATAAGCTTTCAAGAATGCAGAAGTATCGGCCTGCTTCAATAGACCAACTTCAATTGTAAATCTACAGTAGATCATCAAAAGAAGGAAAATGAAGACCTGCAATAGAAATCTATAGGCAGTGAACACTGATATTTTCAACAATGTATTCAAAGAAAAATTTCTGTCAACGTAAGATATAATTACTTACGTTTAGAAAATGTTTCTGCTTTGTGATTGAATATCGTAGCATGAAAATGCCGGTAGTAGCCAAAAGAAAACTTGTCACTTTTCCTTCTTCCACTGATCTCAAGGAAATTTGGGGGGGG